AATCCTGCGAGCAGTGCCTCAAACTCATCCTAATTGTTTGACATTGGAAAAGAAAGGGTGAGGGAGTGTTCGATCATGACGCCTTCCTCGTTCTCGAGGAGGATTCCCGCTCTGCTCCCTGTCGAGCTAGAAGCTCCATCCACAAACATGGTCCACTTGTGCTTCTTCCATATGGGGGGATCATGGGCAGTTATCTCTGCAAGGAAGTCGGCCAGTGCTTGGGCCTTAAGGGCCTTCCTGCTCTTGTACTGGATGTCAAATTCTGAGAGCTCCAACGACCATTTTAGCATTCGACCTGCCATGTCTGGTCGGCATATGAGTTATCTCACAGGTTGGTCTGTTTGTACAACAATTGTGTGCGCCAGGAAATAATGTTTAAGCCTCCTCGCTACGTTGACGAGGGCCAGGGCCACCTTCTCGATCTGTTGATACCTGACCTCGGACCCCTGAAGTGTTTTGTTCGTGAAATACATTGGCTTTTGCCTGTCTGGAGTCTCACGAACGAGGGCCGCACTTACAGCCTCAGCGAAGACGACCAGGTAAAGGAACAAGGTTGTCCCGTATTCAGGTTACAACAACACGGGCGGTTGCAAAAGGCTTTGCTTGAGATGGAGGAGGGATTGCTCGCATTACTCGATCCACTCGAATGTTGTCTCTTTGCATAAAAGCTTGAAAAATGGAATAGCGTGTTGCACGGATTTCACCACGAATCGGGAGAGCAAGGTGAGCATGCTGTTTAGGACTTGTATGGATTTCTTTGAGCTAGGTGTAGGGAGCTCGGAGAATGCCTGGAACTTGTTGGGGTTGGCTTCAATCCCCCATTCCGTCAGGTAGAAACTGAGGAATTTTCCCGCCTTAACTCCGAAGGTGCATTTCCCAATTTTGAACCTCATTCGGCATTGTCTCGCTTGGGCAAAGACCTTTTTGAGATGGGCAGCATGGTCGGTATATGCTCGAGATTGACGATCATGTCATCCATGTATACCTCAAGCATATCCCCGATCTCGTCACAAAAGACTTTATTCATCATCAACTGGTACGTTGCCTCTGCGTTTTTCAGGCCGGAGGGCATTACGTTGTAGTAGTAATTGCCCGAGCTAGTCATGAAAGCAATGCGATGCTTGTCTCTCATCGCCATTGGGATTTGGTTATAGCTTGAGTAGGCATCCATAAACGATAAAATTTTATAGTTGGCCGAATTGTCGACCAGCATATCAATATTAGGAAAAGGAAAAGCGTCTTTGGGACATGCCCGGTTAAGATCATTATAGTCAACACACATTCTCCATTTTCTATTATTTTTCTTAAAAAGTACAACATTTGAGAGCCAGGTTGAATACTGGGCCTCGAAAATAAAATTAGCCTCTAGGAGGTCTTTTACATTATTTTTAGCAGCCTCCGCTTTCTCAGGAGACTGCCTACGTCTATGTTGTACTATTTCCCTAGCGGCTGGATCAATGGCTAAGTGGTGTCAAGCGACCTCGGGGTCGAGTCCGGGCATCTCTGCGGTGCTCCACACGAACAGGTCTACATTCTCCCTCAAGCAAGCTTTAATTTGCTTCCTTGCCAAGTCGGGGAGTCCGGTGCCGATCTTCACGCCTTTGCGAGGGTCTTCACTGAGGGGGACGAACTCGAAGTCTCCGCCCGGGATTGGTCAGAGAAGTTTCTTCTCGCCGTTGGGTGCTTCATCCTTGTCGAAGCAAGCGTCAAGCGAGATGGAGTCAACCTTGGGTGGAGTTCTTTATTCTTCTGTCTTCACGGGTTATGGCTCATGTTAAGTAGTGGCATCTCTCTTAACAGGTCGCGCCCCAGTGTCGACCGTGCTCTGTCCCTTTGAAGCTGCGTTGAAACATCTTCAGGCAGCTGAGATATTGTCGTGGATGGTGGAAATGCATCCCCTCTTCGCGTATAATTTCATCTTTAGGTGGACGGTAAAGGGGACAACGGTCAGTTCGGCCATCATTAGTCTCCATAGGATGCAGTTGTAGAGAGATGGGCAGTTGATGACCAGGAATTTCACCTTGACCTGCCATGCGGCAGTTTCCTCCCCGAAGGTGATGAAGAGCTCCACATACCCCCATGGTTTGGAGGTCGAGCCATTGAAGCTCTGCGGGTCAGACCCCATGTATGGTGAAAGGTAGGTGTCGTCGAGCTGTAAGGTTAGGAAGAGATGTTGTACATAACATCCACGGAACTCCCTTCGACGACCAAGACGCGGTGAACATTGAAATTTTCCACTCTTGCCCTTACCAGAAGAGGGATGCTCGAGTCAGGGGCCCCTCCAGGCAACTCTTTGAGGTAGAATATGATCGGCTTGGATCTGCCCTTAACCTTCTCGAATGTCGCCGCTTGAGTCGGGGTTGCATCGACCAGCTCGTCGAGCTTCCTTTTTGTGGATTTTATGGAGATTTCATTGAAACCCCTCCAGTTATAACCATGGCGGGGGGGGGGGGAATATTTCCCACCTAGTGTGCATGGACATAGGTTCTTCTTTGTGTCTGTCGGGGACGTAGAAGTTCTCCGGCCTTGTAATGGAGAAGGCTATTTGGATGGGGGTCGTTTCATCCGATGGTCAGGTGTCTTCCTCGACCTCTCTTGTTTCGCGGGTATCCCGACGAGGGGCGTCATTGCAACAATATTGCTCGATCCTGCCACCCTTGATGAGGGTTTCAATGGCGTATTTGAGATGGACACAAACTCAAGTCAGATGCCCGTGGCTCCAATGGTACTGACAGTATTTGCTCCTGTTAGCCTCTGGCTTTGCAGGGGCAGAGCGAGGATGTTTGACGCCTCCATCCTTGAAATCGGTATTAGTACACTCCACCAAGATGCGCTCGCGGGAAGCTGTTAGAGGAGTGTATTCGGTGAATCTCCCTGCAGGCCCCCTGTGCTCGCGGGGATCCCGTGGTTTGTCATCCCTCCTCTTCTTACTCGTTCATCGAGGAGGGACTGCGTCCCGGTGTCGCAAGGCGTTGGTTGTCTGCGGTTCCTTGGGTCGCGGGCTTTGTTGGCCGCTTCCCTCTCCTTGTAGTCCATGTAGGCCCTAGCCTTTTCGAGGAGAGCATCGAATGTCCGGGGTGGTTCGATGCCAACGGCCTTCCTGAACTCCGTGCCTGGGAGGAGTCCCCTCTCGAGTAGATACCGTTTCATGTGATCGGTACAAGGGACCTGGATGGCCTCGCGATTGAACCAATCTATGAACTCCCTGAGGATTTCGTCGCTTCATTAGACGATAGCTTCGAGGGAGGCCTCAGTCTTCGGGTGTCGACGAGACGCTGTAAAGGAGATGATGAACTGGTTTTTCAAGTTCCTCCAAGAGGTGATCGACCCTGGGGGGAGATTTCTATACCAGTCTATCACAATTTTTCTCAAGGTCGTGGGGAATAACCGACAATTGATTTTCCCCGCGACATTATGATAATGGAGCATTGCTTCGAACTCATCGATATGGTCGACTGGGTCAGCAATGCCATCATACTCCTTTAGTTGGGGAGGTTTTTCCATGCCCCTGGGAATGGGCGCCTCCATGATTTCCTACGACAAGGGACCGCGGGGATCGTCTTTGTCACTCCTGTAGGGGGAGTGGGAAGGGGACCGATTGTAGTGGCGGTCATAGTCATGTCCTTGGCCTCGGGGAGGATCCCTTGGTCGAGGATGTGTTTCTATGTTACCCCTGTTTCTGTTTTCAGGGGAACGTTGTTCCCTGCGCGGGGGGGTTGAGGTCGCGTCTCCCGGTAGCCTCGGGCATGGTTCTCTCCAGCGTGAGGCATCATCCAGTTCGTTGGGGAGAGAGGCTCTGCGACCTGTCCCGTCCGTGTCTCCGCGGGGGAGATTGAAGACATTCTTCATCCTGACGAGGAGGTGGAGTGTCAGGTCTTCTATATCTTCTGGGCGCTCGACGAGAGTCTTCGAGCGCCCTTAATCTCTCGCCTTGCGAGAAGATCATGTAGTTCGTATATTTTATGGCCGCGAACAAGGCCTTTGTCGTGGCATCAGCGCCCGGAGGGACGGGGACCTTCTGGAAAGCGTTCGACTCGTAGTTCTCGGGCGGATGGGCTCCCTCGTTTGGTTGAGAGTGTGACGAGGAAGAGGCAGCCATGCCGTCTCGGTAATTCTGCATGAGACCGACCATGTCACCATCGTTTTTGTTATTGTTGTCCACGTTATTGACGATGTTGTTGTTGGGGTCGACGAGATGGGTGTCTAAGATGTTGTTAGTAGCTGGGTCGGCCATGACAATCAAGAATTTGGAGTTGCTTTTGTCTTAGGTAAATGAAGACGGGGAAGCTAGTTTCTCACAGACGGCGCCACTAATCGTACCTGACCAGAGTGATCGTCAAGGTCTTACGTCGAACTGAGGTTGAAAGCGAGATGGGAGTACCTGCAAAACACTTTGATGCGAAAATAAGTTTCAGGAAGAGTGCAAGCAAGTTTATTACAATTTCACATCTATTTAAAAAACATGTCTAAATATATGCTTTGATACTAGGTTTTTCAAAAATCCATTTAAAATCACACATTTTTTAAAAATCTATTAAAAACTCATAAATTTCCTTAAAAATTCATTAAAAATTTACAAATTTCTCAAAAATCCGGTGTATTACTCATAAATATGAAAAACATACTAATTTTTGAAAAACTTCAAAATTTTCAATGAGTATTATGATTAAAAAAACACAAGTCAGGTAAAAAAATTGGGGTGAAACTGAAAGTGTACCAATGGCAAACATTAAATCATACCAAAAAGATGAATTACAATCACAACATAGAGATTGAAATTCGGATTACTTAATCCTAATAATGAGAATGTTTGAAATTATATTTTCCCCCAAAACACATTTGCCACGTGGATTGATGATTGTATTGTAACCTCAAACGTAGATGCTACATAGGACAACACAAAAAAGTGGTGGAATCCTAGGATTTCAACCACACATCTCTCATCACACAATTCCACTTCACTGCTCTATCACCAAACAACCAACCACTAGCAACTAACAATGGCAATGGAGATCACTGCTATGGCTTCATCAACAACAAGACCCTCTCTTCCAACTCCTTCCACCTTCACCAAGCCTCAACATAGACGCCTCCACAACATATCGTTACCAACATCAACCACCATTTCACTACTCGCTCTTTTCACCCCTCCAAATGAAGCTAGAGCTGCTGTTACAATCTCCAAGGACCAAATTCTTTCTTCTATCACCCAAGTAAGTTTTTTTCCCGAAGTTTTAAACTTTATCAAATTTCATCTATTTATAAGCATACCCAGTTGCTAAAATTGGATGTTTTTTTTTATGAAGGTGGAGCAGACTATTGATCAGGTTCAGGTGGTAGGTTCTGGTTTTTTGGACACAGCACAGCGTGTTGCTGGAGCTATTGGGAATGTTTTGAAGCCGGCGTTGCCAATTGTGCAGCAGGCTGGTCAAGAGGCTCTGAAAATTGCTTCACCGGCTTTCTCTGAGGCTTCCAGGAAGGCTCAAGAAGCACTTCAAAGTTCTGGTGTTGATACCCAACCTGTTCTCACTGCTGCTAAGGTTTGATTAATTAATTGAATCTTTCTATGTTATTTGAGACCAATTTTCTCTGGTTTGATGATGATTCCTACTTATCTGTTGCATGACAGTGTTAGTTAACATTTAGGGGGTTGTATGTTTTTGCAATGTTGAATTTGCTTCCTATTGAGCAATAATGTTGTGCTAATTGAACTTTTAGGTTCCAAATACATTCTTTTTATTTTTCTGGTTTTATAGATGTCGAGTGTGACTCGTGCGGTAGTAAGCAAGCAGACGCATGAACGGGGTGGAGCGTGAGCAACCACCCTTTGGGTTTGGCCTATTCGTTTGTTGAGTTATGACTAGGGGAGTTGAGGGTACAACGGGGTGTAGACTCGGGTGCAAACTATTGAAAAAAAACCCAATTCCCACATTGGTTAAAGATTGAATCTACAAGGTTTATATAAAGTGACATCTCTCACCTTACAAGCCAGTTTTGTAGAGATGTTCTAACGTGGTATCAAGAGTCTATCATTCGGGTCACCCGCCAATATTCGTGCTTTAGAATTCAACTCATAATTGTGTCTATTTCAATTCTCAATGCGTTATTATCACTATTTCGATAAGTTGCTTTATATTTGAAGAACCAAATCAGTTTATCAACCTGATCCAAATATATAATCTTTAATTTTAGACAGTGTCAGATGCTGCACAACAAACAACCAAAGTGATTGAAGGTGCCAAGCCAATAGCCTCATCAACCTTGGACACTATAACTTCTTCAGATCCCACTGTGATTGCTGGAACAGCTGGAGCACTATTTGTTGCATATCTCTTGTTTCCTCCTATCTGGTCTGTCATCTCCTCCAACCTTCGCGGCTACAAAGGTTCAAACTTCAAACTACCCTTGACATGTGTTTGTCGCCAGTTTTTTGTGCCTCTGATGGTTACACAGTGCATTGTACTTGTGATTTTCCAAGCTTCTTATGTCAAGCAGAAATTTTCTTTGTCTGATGCATGTGCTTTCTTCGCAGGAGACTTGACGCCAGCTCAAACACTAGATATGTTATGTACACAAAACTACATCTTGGTTGATGTAAGGACGGAGAAAGATAAGGACAAGACCGGTATTCCCCGCCTTCCGTCTAGTGCTAAAAACAAGATGGTTGCCATTCCGTAAGTGCTTTCCCTCTAGTGCCCTTACTACTACTCGTATTTAGATTCTTGTGGAAATCACACATTTGACGCAGTCATGCAATTTAGACCGTGAAATAAAGATCAGATGGCTAACGTTCCCACGTCAATAAATTGAATCCATATTGCTGATTGCATGATAGTGTGAATGCTTGATTTCTTGAATGAAAGAAATACAAGTCCAACACGAGCCTTAACCACTTATTTATATAATGATCTACATGTTAGAAATAGTTGAAAGTTAAGATTTGTCAGCTAATAAGGATCGTTATAATATGACTATATTCATTTGTAATAAACTTTTCTCATTCTTTCAATTTCAAATAATCATAACATGAATATCAGTTGTTGCTTTTATTTTAACTCAGATTGGAAGACATGCCAAGCAAGATAAAAGGACTAGTGAGGAATGTGAAGAGAGTGGAAGCTGAAATAGCAGCATTAAAGATTTCATATCTAAAGAAAATCAACAAAGGCTCCAACATTGTGATCTTGGACTCGTAAGTTTCCTTACAAATCCATCCTATTATCTACGAACTACTGACTCAAACACGGAGGCGATGCTGACGCATAATAATTTCAAAAATGGAATTATTAAATGTAACAATGCTTATCGTTGTCGTGCCAGTATATCCTTTTGCACATACTCTCAATACTTATTAACTTTATTTTTAGTTTAACTTGTGATATTTGGACAAAACTTAATATATAGGTACTCAGACTCAGCAAAGATAGTTGCAAGAACGCTAACGAGGCTTGGATTTAAGAACTCATGGACCGTTGGTGATGGATTTTCTGGAGGCAAAGGGTGGTTACAGAGTAGATTAGGTACAGATTCGTATAAATTTTCGTTTGCAGAGGTGTTGTCACCATCCAGAATCATCCCTGCAGGTGTTAAAAGTTTTGGAACAACCAGCAGGCAATCTAGTCAGAAACTTCTTCCAGGAGCTGACTGAGATTGTTTTTCCTCACTCAATGCTGAACTCTCAAATATATATGTGCCTTGATTAATGAAGTCCTTCAAATTATATTCATTTGATTAAATCTCTCTTTTAACCTCTTCCTCTTTTAACCTCTTTCAATTTAGATTTTGTGTGGGAGAACAATGACAACTAGATAAGTGGTTTTAAGTAATAAAATAATAATAATAATAGACTAGAATACAAGAAATTTGTGTATCCAGTTTGAGATTACATCAAGAGGAGAGAACAATTTTTAAATTTATTGTATTTCATAAGTTGTTATAAGATATTACAATATGAGTTACAAGAAAATAGTTTTTCGAGTTCTTAAAAACAAACTCTATTTTCTTACTCAATTATTTCTCAATCCCTCTGATTTTTAATATAAGAATCACAAAAATCCAATGCATTTAAAGTGTTTACCAAAAGACTACATAATCCATATAATACAATTCTAAATTACCAATAATTTCTCATTATGATTTCTTCTATAACTTATATTATAACAAATGAGAGAAAAATCATATTTATAACTATCAAAATCTTAATGGCCCCAATATATTATCCTTTAACAAGCTTTTTTGTTTTGTTTTTGCAAACGGCCTTATGATATTTTGCAAATATAACGTAAACATGCCCAAGTCATTGATCATTTCCTTCAAGAATATGATTAGAATTCTGGTGAATACATCAATCTAACTAAATATAAGTTTTATAGTAGATGTACTTCTAGATCTAGATAGAGGCATATTGCATATATGTTTGGATTCACTATGTGACATACACCATTTAATTATCTTGGAATGCTTATGTACCACTCCAAAATAATTAGATTATTTGTTTAATTATTTGATTAATTTATGATGAATTTTGTGACGTTTTTGTGGTATTTATATGATATATTGAAGATCGTGATGCTTGATATGATGTTTTGTGTGGCGTATGATGGAGTGGTAGAAATTAAGAAGGTATAGAGTATTTTTAGAATAATTTAGATAATTAGAATAATTAATTGAGATTATTTTAATTAGTTCAATAGAATAACATTGGTGTTAGAGATAACAAGGGCATGATGGTCAATTAGAAGAAGTTAAGTGAGGGCAAAGGTGGAAGGACCATATTAGGGGTCCAAGGGGTAAGATTGACAAATAGAGAATATTGACTTTTGAACGATTCATTATGTATGATCGTTTTTGGAAGAAAAGAAGAGAGGAGAGGCTAAGGCACAGAGGAAGAGGAAGAGAACTCGTTAGAACGCAAAGAAGAAGTAGTAATTTCTAGGAATCTAAGGTAAAGTGGTTTATCGTTATTATTATAATTGATCTAACGTTTAGATAACTGTAGATTTGTGTTGGGTTTTTGTTTGATGATGTTTTATGATAAATTGGTGAAATCGTGATGTTTTCTTACAAAGAATTGATGCATATGATGTATGGTAAATTGTGTTATTGTTATTTGATGAAATTAAGTGGAATTATGAAGATTTGAGACCTGTAATATGATGAAATCGTGTAGAAATTGGAATTGCACAGTGCAAAAATCACAACAGAGAAGTCTTGTTTACGCTGCAGCGCCGGGCGATGGCTATGTGTCGCCAGGCGATGGAGCATCGCTCCAGCAACGCCGGGAGGTGAAGCAGCGATGGGGTGTGGTGAAAAATATAGCCCCTGGATTTTGTATGGAGAGTGGTCTATCGTTGGAGCGTCGTTGGGTGGCGCAGAAGCGAGAAGTGAGCACCGGGCGAGCTAAATGCAGCGTCAGACGGTGGAGACCAGAGGAGAATTAGTGAGTTGTCGCTCCCACGTCATTGGGAGAGTCTCAGGCGAGCAGTCTGCTTCGTCGGGCGAGCACCAGGCGATGGACAACTGTAATATTTTTAAAGTATCATAGCTTGAATTTCAGGACTCTGATTTGACGCGTTGTTCGAAGCGTTAGGAAACTAACACAATGAATTATACTTTGGTCGGAGAAAAAAAAAAGAGTTTTATGACGTGTCTTTCGAGTACCTATGCTTTGATGAATAAGATGATTCAATGATTGTTTAATATTACGTATGTGTATACAATGAATTATTGATACTATGATGATGTTGTTTTGTGTTATGAAGTATGTTATGATATCTATGATGATTATGTGAATGATGATGCGTTTTTGACTAATCATGTTATTCTGTTTAATTTGAGATTTGAACTACCCTTGTGGTAATTGAGTTGTTTTGATTTGATGAAGTTATTTAGAAGTATATTAATAAATATGTTTTAAATTATGAATTTCTGCTGCGAGTAAGTTGAAAAACTATGGTTGTTGATTCTGGAGTAATTAACGTAATTGATTTTTGAAAACCCGTGTCACAGAGCAGGATGTGTTTTATTATGAAGTTTGTTTGAAGCAAATGTGGCACTCTTTTGATGCATTACTCTGATTTAATTATTAAACTATTATGCAAATATTCCTTGGAGTTTAGAAGGGTGTCACACCCTATATTCAAAGGTAAGCCTAAAAATCATCATCATCAAATGATAGCAGATAAAGTGTACTGGTCAAGGTAGCTCTTAGAAAGGGTTGCTTTCTTTTCATAATGGGTAGATATTGAAATAGGTTAGACCGGCTTACAAGGGCCTATAGCCCGACCTATATAAGGTCTGACCTATTTAACAAAAGACTAGGTTTAGGTTTTTTTAATATATATATATATATATATATATATATATATATATATATATATATATATATATATATATATATATATATATATATATATATATATATATATATATATATATATATATATATATATATATATATATATATATATATATATATATATATATATATATATATGGGGCAAGTAGTATATAAAAAAATTTGTTCTCTATGTAAAAAAATAGGTAAAATGGACTATTTGAAAAATCTTAATGTAAAATAGGCTTTCAGCTTAGACCAGATTTTTAAAAAGTTCAAGTCAGGCAAAAAAGGCTATAATAGGCCATAGCCCAGACTATGGCTTTCTAAGACCTGGTCTGGTCTGGCCTATTTTCATCCCCTAATGGGTATAGTTTAATTGGTCTAGACACTCGTACAAGACATGCATTTACATAGACTTAGGATTTATGAACGACCAATCAATCTTCTTAACAAATTAGATTTTTGCATTAGAAATTTTGTATGGATATATAATATAGGAAATATAAAGCTAAATACAACGTCTAAATACGACGTGTTGGAAGATTATTTGCATGGATAGATAGTCACATTTCTCTGTTGGATATGTGATTTCACACACAAAGGGGGGGGGGGGGGGGTGAATTGTAGGAGTTTGAAAAACAGTAGTTTAAAAATTTATTGTTTTCATTTTTCAGAGTTCAAAAACATTTTTGAAAAAAGTGTTTCAATAAAAAGCAGCGGAGAGATAAAAGCAGTTAAATACATTGCAAAAATTAAAGAGATAAGGTTAATAAGATGACATTGAAAAATAGAGGTTCGGTCCAAATGAAGTGACTTAATTCTCTCCCAAAGACTTGATCTTGAGAGTATTCAGTAATACTTATAAGCTTTTAGTAGATTGAGCTTACGGATCCCCTTATATAAAGAAAATGAAGTTTCAAGTTAAATTCTAACCAAATAACAAACAACGGAGACAAGCGGTTAGTCTTCATTTCAAACATGAACTTGAAGTAGTTATTCCCCAAGCTAAATCGAGATTTTCTACATACTTATCTCGAATTAGATGATGAGTTTTAAATTGGATATCCTCCTAACCAAACCAGGGTTTTATACGGGCTGACCGCAAACCAATTTGACATTTTACATCAGGATAATCTCGAAGAAAGTTGGAGTTTTATACATGCTAACCACGAACCGAGTTGAGATTTTGCACCAGGCTGATCTAAAACTGAGTGGAGCTTTTACATAGGCTAAACTCTTGAACCAGACTAAAGACTTAATACTAAATCCCCAAATCAAGCTTTTAACATGTTTAGTTTTGAACCTCAAACAAACAGTCCCTTTAGAGAAATTATTCAACTAAGAGAAAAATACCTCTTGGTGAATTTAAAATATCACCCTTTTTTTAGAATACAAAACCTCACTTAAACACATAAACTTTCTCTAAGTGCTATGGATAAATTAAAGTGAGAGAAAATAGAAACTATTTTTTTAGAGAGGGAGAGAGGGAAGGAGAGAGAGAACTCACGTTTTTTGATGTGAAAAAGTGAAGGGAGAGACATCTATTTATATGTTAGAGGTTTACACAAAAATGAAAAGATACACGAGCCAAATTAATGATCTAATAGATTGGGATCTTAGGTCAATCAATTGGAAGCTCTAAATAATCGTTTACAAAGGCTCAAAATGGAAAGAAAAAAGGATAGAGAGACATTGACCTTCATCTAGAAATTGTTACAAGTGGTTATGGACAATGTTTTCAGTGACCCAATTAATTGGGTATATGTGCCAATTGATTGGACAATTTAAAAATTTGTCCAAAACTATTATGACGGAAGTGAACTTCTGGAACAACCAAGGGGTGATATTCTGACTTCTTGGAGGTGGAAGTGAATGGAGAGTGTATGGCAATAGGAACACATAAGTTAAGGTAGCTTCTAATGTGTGAATCAACAACTGCGTGGATGGCTTTAGCCAAGAACACTTGAGGAAAAAATGGAGTTTGAATGTAAGGAATCAATGCTAAGATTTTGGTATTTTTGTGTTTATAGTTTCCTGGGTTCTTGGAATATTTTGCAGTGGTTCAAGGCTTTCTTTCTCAATTTTCTTGCCTCTTTCACAAATTTTTTCTGGGCCCTTTCTCAGTGGCCAATGGTGTTCTATTTATAGGCAAAGGTTTTGCAGTTGGGCCGGTCAGGTGGCACCAGCATCATATGCTAGATGCTGACTTACTCTTGAAGTAAGCTTAAACAAGTGGGGTTCAATGCATCAAGTTGGATGGTTAACAGGGCCTAAGTTGGATCTGTCAGCATGAATTAAGGAAAAGCGCG